TTTATAAAGATAAAACTAATGATATTAATAAATTTGTACTAAATAATACTAAAACATAATTACTTTCTTAATTTAGGACTTAAACTTTTTTATTCCTTAGAGAGAACTTAATAATGTCTTAGTGGGAGGAATAATGCCAGTAATAAATTAATAATGGACATTTACTTGAATAATGACTAATTAATAATGACCAAAAGTCCTACATTGGGAAATAAGAACATATGGTCATATATTGGAAAAGTCATTGTGTTTTAGCCCTATTTAGGTAAATTACTCATAATATTATTTGAAGTGATAAAATTTTAATATATCAAAACTAAATTTTAAAATTAATATTATGATATTAAATTTATATCATCATAAAATATATTTTTTCATAATTTGTAGTCCACTCGATCGAATATATCCGAAACCGAAATATATCCGAACCGGACTAGACCCGAAACCGAAATATATCCGACTCAAATTGTATTCGAATCAAAATCTATCCGAACCGATTCATAACCGAACCGTATCTGAACCGACTCGAAACCAAACCGAACCGAAATCAAATCCGAACCGAAATTTAACCGATCCGAACCGAACCGATTATAACATATAACCGAAAGATATCCGAACCGAAAAAGTTCAATCCAGAACCGATTCGGTTGATCCGATTGCCACCTCTACCAGTTCCATTGCCACTGCCACTGACTCTTTGTAGCAAATACGGTTCTAAGGACTTCTAGCCTCTCTAACCTCACATGCCTCCTCCAAAATGTGGTCATTAGGTAATTGCTTATTGACGATTGTAGGTGTTCCAAAAATTCAATGACACCATTGTCCAGTGACAATAAAACCATCCTCATAAAATGTCACTAACCCGCGATCATAATGATAATTTTAATTATTGTTGCACATAATTAAAGGAATATAATGTGAGAGTATATTGTGGGCCTTGAGAGATGGGAGAATTATCATTTTTAATATTTAATGTCATGTGATTCAAGTCCTTTGGCATTGGGCTTTTGGCCGAATCTAATTTACGGAGTATTTTGTTTTATAATAATTCCTTTTGATTCCGATCGATCATTTTGGCTTATGGTATATGGATTTGTTCTTTTTTTTAAAAAAAATATTTATAGTTTGGATTTTTCATTTAAAATCAGGTTTGAGAACAATATCTTTAATAAGTCTTAGGGGCTGTTTGGCAACTTCTGAACAGGTAAGTGTTGAACCAGTAAGAGGTTTGAACCATTAAGTGCTGAACCAGTAAGAGGTCTGAACCATTAAGAGCTAGTATATTGTTTAACTATTCATTGTCAAATGTCTGATCAATTCAGATAAGAAGTCTTAACGATTCAGACTATGTATAATACTTAACCATTCAGAGGCAAATCTCTTAACCATTCAGACATCTGAACCATTAAGAGGCTGAAACAAACAGTCTGAACCATTAAGTGCTGAATCATTCAGAGGTAAAATAAATGCCTTTTAAATCCTATTTTGAGAATAAAAATATAGAAGTCTTATTTTAGAATATTTTCAATGATTTACTTCTACTTAATCCTTTTTTTCCCTTTAAATAAAGTATTGATATTCATTTTATAGTTTAGGGAGGATTTAGTTATGTTAAATACTCCCTCCGTCCCAAAAAGTCTTTCTTGTTTACTATTACGGCTTCTCGATAACTCCAATTTGTTTGCGTGTTTTTATTGATCATTTGATAAAATCAAATATTATTGTCAACTCTTATTTTGTAGAGTTTTCGATATAGTTTTTAAATATAATTTTTTATGTGTTATTTCTTTACCAATTTTCAAATAAAATCATTTTAAAATTTACGAGATTTTGTACGTTAATCAAAAACAGGAAATTCTTTATGGAAAAAATGGAGTATTCCTTTCCTGCCTTTTGGAATCTACTAAAAAAAGAAAATGCAATTATTATAAAACAAAGTAACTTAGATTTGGCCAAAAGCCTAATGCCCACGCCGAATCTATATCTATACATCCATCTATACATATATAATGAGAGTATTTATAAATAGAGAGAGAGAGATCAGGAAGATAGAAGAAAGGAAAGGAAAAATTTGGGTTTCTGAAGAGCAACTGAAAATCCCGAGAAAACAGGAAGGAGGAGGAGGGAGAATGGGCGCGACCGTCAAAGCTTCTCCGGCGAACTTTGCGGCGGATAACGGCGAAAATGGCGCCGGAAAAGTTTCTGTTCTCAACCTTGCCCAGTAAGTGTTCGTTCTTTTGTTTCCTTTTATATTTACCGTTTTGCCCCCGCTCCAATCCGAGCGCCTCCTCAGCCTCAATTCCGTATAATGCTGCGCTGTTAATAAATAATACGGAATAATAATATTAATAATAATAATGATGATAATAATTTTAAATTATTTTTTATTCTATCGCCACCATGTGGTCTTTATTTAATTTAGAATTTTAGAATTGAAATTGAATCATTATTATTATTCTTATGGAGTACTCCGTATTATTATTATTATTACTATTATTATTAATATTATTATTAGTACGGAGTATTATTTATATTATTATTATTATTATTATTAATTATTAGTCTGTTGTCATTAACTAATTAGTGAATAGTGAATAATTATCCCTCCACCTAGAGTGCCCACTTTATTTGTCGCACTTATATTATCCTAGTCTATTTTTTAATGCTGCTCGTTTCAAATTAATTTCTTAATTTTGTTATATGAATTTTGACTAAAATTATTTTTCAATTCAATTTTTTTAATTATTGGTAAATAAATTATAAAATAAAAATTATATATTTAAAGTTTTACTCAGAGTGCAAAATCAAAAAGTGGCATGACTATATTATTTTATAAAATGTGTACGAAAATATATAGAAAAAGTGTGCAAAATTTAACTTTGTGAATAAAAATTTAGGGCAGAAGAAGTAGAGAGTATGCATTTTATTATGGATAATTGTTGTATGAACTTAAGATCCCTATAATAAATAGTCTTTTTGATATACACAATAGATTATTAGTTGTTTAAATATAGATTTATTTTTTTATTTTTATTAATTTATAATTTTGTTTATGCGAGAAGGCCTCTCGTGAATCTTAAGTGCATGATAAAAACATTTTAGTACAGATTATGTGATTCAAATGATTTTGGCTTCATTTGACATTAACTTTAGCTTTTTAGCTTCATGTTTTGAAAATATTATTCGAGTTTTTTGCGCCATTCACTCCTGAATTTTTTAAAAATTGTGCATGTTCATCTCGAACTTTAAAAATCTTACGAATGTCTCGTAAACTTTTACAAATGTTGCATTAATAACCCTTCAATGCTAGATTTGAGAGCGTGTTTTCCATACGCTCATCAATATAAGTGTTAGAGCTTGATGAAAATGTCATAGATTGATGAATAGGTTGATCGATTTGTGACGAGCTTTATCGACGGATGCTCGGTCTTCAAATTCGATTACCGACGACTAAATCGAGAATAATTATCCAGGGTTTAAAAATGTCATAGATTGATGAAGAGGTTGTTCGAGAGTGACATATTGTAGAACTCACGTGTGATATATAATTTTAGATGAATCTATGTTTGCACTAGATAAGCTTGGATTAACGCGTTCTCAAATCTGGCACACATAATCAATATTTTTAAAAGTTCAAAGTTTAGGGAGATCGGAATTCATACAATTTTTAAAAAGTATGACACAAAAAACTCAATATTATTCACCGAAAAAATTTGCATTAGTGTTTTTGAAGTTAAACTCAACCTTTGAAAATTATTCAAAAACACCCACATAAATCACAAATGTTTTCAAACAAAACCTTTGTAAATTCTAGGGAGTATATAAATCTAATTACTTTAGCTTTAAATTTGTTGGTCTATCTTCATTGTACCAAGTACTGGGAGGCAACTTATTTTCATGTTTCCTCTGTTTTTAATTGGAAAATTTGTAGAGAATAATTCAAAATTTTAACGGTCTGCTAATAATAATAGTAATTTTATTTTTAATATTTTTATGGAATTCTCTCACCTTTCAAAGAAGTTGCACACAATTTATTTATTTAATGTCTAAATTAAAGGTCAGGTTTTAATTAAAGTCCGATTTTCAAGGTAAAAAAGTTACTCCGTATTTTTTTTTAACCTTATATGGAGTACCATTAAAAGCTCTTTCCAAATAAAACAACCTAAAGTCTAAAGCCATTCGATTTCAAGGTAAAAAAGTTATAGGTTAAAATAAGACCAAAATCTCCCTAGATTTCCCCTTTCATGATTTTACTTTAAATTTTTTTTTATTATTGTGATTATCAGGAATCATGATGTCCATCACCAAAATGCACACACCAGGTAGAGTAATTTTTTTATAGGTGTTATTTAAGATCTGCTATGCTTTTTCTCACATAATCAAATTAATAAATTTTTAAAATATATATATATATATATATATATGTATATATGTATATATATATACCGAGTATTTGTATAATACTCGGTAATTTATTACTCCGAATATATATTTGAGATTTTTTTTAAAATAGACCTTAGTGTAGAAAGATTATTTTCATTGAAGAATTATGTAGGGATTATTACATCAGTATATATTAGAGGTCTCAATCCTAATAATGGTAGGAGAGCACGATAGGAAACTTATACAATTATGGTAAGACAATATTACAAGAATAATAAATACTTAGATCTATATAAGACTTTGTTGAGATTTTTTTGGGCTGAAAGTAATCAATTTTTTTTCTTTTTAAAGAGAGAAATTATGAATTGCAGAAAAGATAAACAAAATGAAGTATCATTTGGCCTTTTCTTCTAAAATTCAACGGAACACACGATCAGTAATTAAATAAAAATTATATTTCATATTTATTCAATAAAATTAGCTTTTTATTATAAATATACCATGTAATTCTTATTTGATTAATTATTAGAAACGCTCTTTTTGGTGAAATAAATGTTTTATTTATTTCCATTTTCATATACTCCCTATATTTTTACATCTTATGTTATTTTATACAGAGTAATACGGAATTTTTTTATCCTACTATTAACTCTGGATTTGAAATTATAATTTCTTATTTGAGAGATTCACAGTGATATCACTTGACCACAAGTAGTTATTCCATAGATAACATGTGTTTAGAAAATAAAAATAAAGTTTAAAGTTTTTGATTAATTTTATTTATTTTAAAAAGTCTTGTTGATCCTAATAATAATGACAGAAATAGTAGCATACAACTAATTTCACCAACTTTACTTTGTTCTTATCCCTCTCTTTTTTTAATGTCAATGGCTTGGCTCACATAAGAAGATTATTTTAGACAAAATATATCAATAACTTGAAATCTGTAACGCATATTAATGCAATTAAATAAATTTATAACAGATGTAATACATATTAATACAATACAATAAATTTATAATAGATCTCCACAAAATATATTTAATCAAATCATTTTTAGAGTACAATTATTTTGTACTTATTTAAAACATGATTTTTAGTACTCCCTACGTCCCAAAATATTCACAACATTTTTTTTTCCAGCAATCACGAGAATTTTTGTTTACTTCTACATTTTCATTGGTTTTTTGATAAAATAAAATATTATTGACACCTCTTATTTCGAAGAACTTTTCATGTAGTTTTTTTTAATATGTAACTTTATTTTTTATTTCTATACCAATATGTAAATAAAATAAGTTGAAAAAACTTGATATTTTATCTCAGAAATACAAATTGGCAAATATTTAGGTGGTCAAATTCCACAAACCAAACTGAGGTGGCAGTATTGTGTACGACTTCACTGGTTTAACTTTTTGCTGCGGCGTCTTAAAAAACTGAACATGAAACTCTCAGTGCAGTCTGCAAATTTACTGTCAGATACATCAAAATAAAAATGTGACGGTTCCTATAACATTGTCTAACCATGTTATAGAATGGTGCTCCAGTATCCTGTCGTAAAATTGACGTTTCATAGCACTCCTAAACTCCCCGGTAAAGCCCCCACCCGGCCCGAACCGGACAGACTCCCACCCCCTTCAATTGCACCCACAAGTTAATTTTGACTTTGGAGTCAAAATTTGACTCCAAAATCAAAATCTTCTTGTGGGGTGCAATTGAAGGGGGTGGGGGTGTGTTTGGGTCAAAGCGGGGTGAGAGGTTTATCTGGGGGTTCAGAGGTAGGAACCGTCAATTTTACGAACGGAGCACCGGAGCGCTCCGGGTCATCCCAATAAGAACCCACCCAAATAAAAATAAAATTTTAGATTTTTTTTCAATTTATTATATTTTTTTCTAGTCAATATTTTAAAATATTGACCACAATCAACAACCAACAAAAATAAATTTAATTAAGTTATTTTACCTAATGGTCAAAAAAATATGAATAAAATTTGATCATGTGAATAATAAATCGAGTAACTTAATAGGAATATGTATATGTGTGATTGCAGGGGAGATCCAACAATGTTTGGGGCATATTGGGAAAAAATGAGTGAAAAGGGCACCATAACATTTACAGGGGCACAGTCAATGAGCTACTATTCAAATACAAAGAGCATTTGTTGGTTCTTGGAGCCGGAGCTAGAAAGAGAGATCCGGCGGCTCCACGGCGTCGTCGGCAACGCGGTGGAGGAGGAGCATTACGTGGTGGTGGGGACGGGGTCGAGCCAGCTTATTCAGGCTGCTCTCTACGCCCTGTCCCCGCCCGACGCCGACCTGCCCGTCAACATTGTTTGTGCTGCCCCGTACTATTCGGTCAGCTCTCTCTCACCTCCTTACTCCATTTCATTTTTTTAATGAGTAAATTCCATAAAAAGTTCCCAGTTATACATCGTTTTACATATTTAGTCCCAACATATCAAATATTACTAATTTAGTCCCCAATTATTATATCATTTTTCACGAATGGTTCTTTGTTAACGTTTTTGTTAAGAACATGAATAAAATTGTATATTCATATTTTTCTCTCTCCTCAATTAAGTTTTTTCTCTCTTCTCGTACTTTTTCCCAAACTCGTTGTTGAGTTTCTAAACCCAAAACTGAAATGATTACTCCTCTCTCAATTATTAGTCTTTCTGGTGGAACCTTAAATAAAACCATTAACCTTTATTGATGAGTTTTATCGGTTAGTCTCAAGAAATTACAAAGAAAATAAACATTAAAACTCATCCATGAAGATTTAGGTTTCGAATTTCGGTTCTACTAGTTCGACAAACAATTAAGAAAAGAGTGATGATTTTGGTTTTGGGTTCAAAGCTTCAAACTCAGCGATGAGTTTGAAAAAGGAGTGCGATAGGAGGGAGGAAACTTAATTGAGAAGAGAAAAGAGTGTGAATTTACAATTTTATCCACGTTCTTAATGAAAATATTAACAAAGGATTATTCGTAGAAATGAATCTAATAATTGGAAACTAAATTAGTAATATTTGATATGTAGGGACTAAATATGTAAAACGACCTATAATTGGAAATCTTTTATGGAATTTACTCTTTTTTAATTGATCATTATAACTATATTGATACATTAAAAAAATTGAATATTAAACGGAAGCATATGTTAAAAAAGATTTCTGATAATATTTTGTTTTAAAAGTTTTAATCGTAAAATTTACTACTCCCTCCGTCCTATAATGTTTTTCCCGGTTCATTTTACGAGTTTTGAGCGATTTTATTTTTAATTTAATTTATTTGATTGTAGGTGTAAAATTAAAAAAATAAAATTTATATATTTAAAAACTATATCAAATGTTCTACAAAATAAGTGGTGACAAGACTATATTATTTTATCAAATACCTAATGAAAATAGGTAAAGAAAGTGATTAAAGTTTGACCGGGTAAAAAGTGAGTGGGAAGAACATTTTAGGACGGAAAGAATACTAAATTTTATTATATATTAAATTATCAATGAATACATATAAATAAATAAAAGTTTATGAGATTTTTAAATAATTAACTCTGACATTTTTTGAGAGAGAATAGAATTTGTAGTTTTTCTTTTTTTGCAAAAACTTGTCAACTAAAACCACATGTCAAAAGGGATGAAGTGTGATTAGAAAACTCAAGGGATAGGGTGAAGGGTGTATCTTACTGAATTGACAAATACTTCTTCCCCATTTTTTCTTGAATAAAATTTATTCCGTAATATTTTAATTTTACAATATTTAAAAAAGCATCAAAAATAAAAATATGGCGTGCGATATAAATTTTTCTAAAGGAGAGAATATTTGCAAAATTGCAAGTATTTTTTTATTTAAAACAAAAAGGAAAAATAAAATGAATAGCCCTCGCAAAAAAAAATTCGAACTGTTTTTTATCCAAACCCAATGACACTTGATCATGAACACAGATTATTTCTTGACTGACCAAACCTGAAATGGCCGAATCTGAATCCCACCCGACTGACCAATTTGTAATGAAAGAAAGAAGAAGTCTTTGAGATCCTTTCATATCCAATCGCTGTGGCTGTCCCATCGTTATGATAATGGGTTGAAAAAAATTAAAATCTCCGGTTCAGATTTTCTTGCACTATCACTGGTTTCGTTTAGTCGGTTTTCAGTCATATCTCTCCTCCTCCTATTCCCGTAAGGATAGAGCTACTTGTACCCCAACCTTTTGTACCTTAATTTGTACCCCGCAGTTTTGCACCAACATTTTGTATTGGTGTAAAATTAATTTTTGTTAACGCACCAACACTTTGTGTCCGTGTAAATTTTTATTAACGCACCAACATTTGTGTCCGTGTAAACCGTCAAAATGTTTGTGTATAACTGTGGTGTAGAAATGGGGTACAAAATTTGGTGTAAATGTAGCATGGTCCATTCCCCTAAACATATCCGTTTACGAGAAGAATGTCAATTTTGAAAATGACCATGCTACACTTACACCAACAAATATACCTCATTTGTACGCCACAGGTTTGCACAAACATTTCGATGGTTTACACCGACACAAGTGTTGGTGCGTTAATAAAAATTCACACGGACATAAATGTTGGTGCGTTTAACAAAAATTAGTTTTACACCAACACAAAATGTTAGTGCAAAACTGCGGGGTACAAATTGGAGTACACATAGCATAATCCTTTTGAAAATTTTAAATTCACATACTCCCTCCGTCCGGAAATATTATTCCCGTGTTGACTTAGCACGTTTATTAAGAAATAAAAAAAAATACAAAATTTTCAAAAAATGCACATACTATAAACTTTTAAATCTTCTTTTATTATTAAAAAAGTACTAAAAAGTAGATTTGTGATAAAATAGAAGGGTATTATTGATATTTATCCTTAAAAAGTATACTAAAAAGGAAATGAGAAGAATATTTCCGGATGGACCAAAAAGGAAAGTGAGAAGAATATTTTCGGACGGAGGGAGTAATTTTTTTGTTTATTGATACCTTTTACATATTACTCTCCCCGTCCCAGTGTATTTGCCACATTTGTTTTTTCAGCAGTCGCGGAAACTTTTGTTTAATTCTACGTTTTCATTGGTTATTTGATAAAATAAAATATTCTTGACATCTCATATTTCGAAAAACTTTTCATGTAGTTTTTTTGTATGTAAATTTTATTTTTTATTTCTATATCAATATGTAAGTAAAATGAAGTTTATTCGTGGATGGAGGGAGTAATTTTTAACTTATAGGTTATTTATAAGTCCAATATTTTTTTTATGATTCTAAATGATAAATAAGTTACTAAATCTTCATTAATGATTAGAGATACCTTGTTTTGTAAAAAATGTAAAATACTTAGAAACTGAAGAGGTACTGTATTAGTCTACGTAACCACACAAAGTAAAAAAAAGTTACATAGTGGAGTACTTATTAACCGCACATTGCTGCTGTTATCTTTTTTACCTAGGCTACGAGGCTACGACTCCTACGAGTAACTTTTTTTCCTCTTTTGCTGCTGGGATGGTAAATTGGTACTCGGGATTTTTTGTTGCCCCGATCCTTAATTATTAGGGCTAAATAGTCAATTCACACCGGTCAATTGAGAGATTGATACGGGCTAAATGGTATTAGAGCAAACTCGGAGTGGTGGTCTGGTCAAACAAGCCGTGACCAACATAGCCGTGACTATTGAAGACTTTGGACCTTATGGAGGTCAAATGATACGGGCTAAATAGCGATCCAACCCCGGTTAAATGTGAGACTGGTGTGGGGTTTATATAGCCAAGGATTCTCCTAGTATCGGTCATGTCTTTAGAAACGGGTTTGAAAAGTCCGGTACACGACGTGGTCCTTAATTTGTTTCTCACTTTTCTTTTCTGGTCGTCCAAAAATTTCTTTCCCGTATCCTATTTCGGCAAAAAACTTTTAATGGATGTACCATTGTACTCTCACTTTTATCTACACCATCTCCGTGCCAAGTCAAATTGTGAAAGAAATTTTTAGACAAGGGAGTATTTTTTTGGGATCGGGACAATTTGCAAAATAATGACAATTTTACAGTAAAGTGGCCACAAAAATAGGAAGGAAATCGCTCCATAGATGGTTTTTTGTGGGATTTTAGAAACAACCTCTCTGCTTCCGAGTAGAAGTAAGTTCTCTACGTACGTTCTACTATACACCTCCCTCGGACCTTACTTTTTTGTGGGATTTTACTGTGCAGTCATATCCGGAGGTGGCGGACATAGTGAGATCAAGGAGCTACAAATGGGGAGGAGATGCAAGGAGTTATGATAGGGATGAACCATACATAGAGCTGGTAACCACACCAAACAACCCAGATGGGGCTATCAGAGAACCTGTGGTTAACAAGCCTCAAGGAACTGTCATACATGACTTGGCCTATTACTGGCCAAACTACACTGCCATTTCCTCTGCAGCTAACCATGATCTCATGCTCTTCACCTTCTCCAAGTGCACTGGCCATGCCGGTTCAAGAATCGGGTAACCTCTTCGTTTTCCTCCTCCTTGAGCATCCGCATCGTGCAATACCATTGTAACCGTGTTTTTTTCGCATCGTATATTGACACTCTTTCGCGTTGTGTGTCTTATTTTGGTATAAAAACACTGAAAGCGTGTTGTTTTTGTTGTTGTTGATGATGATTCTATAACACGTGATGGTGATGGGTGATGAGTTATGAATGCAGATGGGCATTGGTGAGGGATAAAGAAGTTGCGAAGAAGATGATAAAGTATATGGAGGTGAGCACCATTGGAGTGTCGAAAGATTCGCAGCTGAGAGCAGCTAAGATTCTTGGGGTGGTTTCTGATAGCTGCTGCAGCCATGGTGCTGAGGAGGGCTTTGAAGATGAAGATGAAGATGAAGAAGAAGATTTCTTTTCTTTTAGTAGGAATATCTTGAAGGAAAGATGGCAAAGATTATCCCAGCTTGTCAAGGCTAGCAATCTCTTCACTCTCCAGAAATACCCCACCCAGTACTGCTGTTTCGCCAAAGACATGACAGACACTCTCCCAGGTATGTCCCGCTTTTTCTCGAGACTTTTGAAATCTAAAAAAATTAATTCGATTTTTTTTTTTGAATTTTTCGAATAATTTATTTTGTAAAACAGCTTTTGCGTGGATTCGGATGACGAGCAACGAGGGTGGAATGGACTGCGCGGAGCTTCTGAAGGAACAGAGGATTCTTGCTAGGAGTGGGACAAGATTTGGAGTTGACAATAAGTTTGCAAGGGTAAGTATGGTGTCAACAGATCAGGAGTTCAACACATTTTTACAAAGGCTAGCAATCATCCAAGGAACAAATCCTATTTATATTTGATCATTTTTTATTAGTAATATTTTCGAGTTTTGTGGGAAATGTTAACTTAAAAAGATTTAGCCTTTGATTAGAGTATGGGATTATTAATGTGTGTATTATGGAGTACTATTATTAAAGTGTGATGGCAGTTTTAATTTAATTAGTTTCTATTTACAAACAGTGTTGTTATTTAGATATATTTTTTGTCATTTAAAAGATCTCAAAGAGAAACCTAAAATGAAATTGAAATTGTATAAAAAATAAATTTAGAAATCTAAAATGAAACTAGCATTAGAGCATAGTGGTTTAGGTAGTGTTATTAATTATGTAGATAAAAATGTAAAAGAAAAATTATTTGATATGTACTCCGCATCATGTATGTATTGCAATTGAGTCCATGTTAAAAAATATTCTATTTGTGTTCTTATAAAATCAAAAGACCAAAATACCTTCAGTGCACAAGATCTTATTGGCAAATGACCGACACTAGATTTTAAATATTAAGGTCTTATTGGCAAATGACTGACACTATGGTTAAAAATATCGGCCCGGTTCCGTTGCCACTAGGTTTCATTGGTCACAGAAGTCACTGTCCCGATTCAGATACCTACGATGCTCCATTCGTAAAATTGATGATCCATACCCTTCCTAACCCTCCGGTAACCCCCCATGTCCAGTCCCGACCCCAACTCATCCCACCTACGTCAATTACACCCCGCAATTTTAGTTGACTTTAAGGTCAAAATTTTAGACTTTAAAGTCAACTATATTTGCATGGTGCAATTGACATAGGTAGGGAGAAGATCCGGAGTCGAGACTGGGCAGAGAGGTTTACTGGGAGTTAAAAGAGGTAGGAATTATAAATTTTACGAACAGATCATCATAGGAATACAGTGACTTCCGTGACCACTGAAATCCAGTGACCACTCAACTTAGCCTTAAAAATATACCTCTTTTATTGCAAGGGGTATTAGTGTTAAAAAAATCACTTCCTTTGTGTTGGCAAACGGAGCCCATGCGCTAAACGGGTGAAGGGAAGATCAATTTTGAAGAGCAGAAAATTTTGGAAAAAAATGGCGGGTGAAGGGTTAGCGACGGAGCAGCCGCCGTCATCGAACGAATTCAGCTCCGTCTACGGCCGGTGGGATGTTCAGTATGCTCGCTTCGTGGTGTTTCCTTCGTCTCCTCACGCGCCTCATCCTTCTCTGGTACCTCACTCGGCCAAGACGCGGAAGGCGCGGAGAGGCGGCAAATGGATCTCCACCTCACCCTACACCTCCGCCTTCGCCTCTCTCAAACTACTGGCCGTTCGCGACGGCGATCTTATTGATCTGATCCTCGTTGTCTCTATCGGCTCCAAAACCCTCGTAAGTATACTCTCCTCGATATATAACATTAATCCGAACTTCATAAAATAGAACGTTGCTGGTGCTTGATTTGAACTTGTTCTTCTCTGATCGACGATTCAAGTTTTTCCGTTGCAGCTTTTGTTATAATAATCCATGGATGATAATCATGTGACATTCACTGCCTAATTTTTAGTGAAACAAGTTAGATTTGCTCTATCCGATTGTCCAGATTTGCCTAAAATACGTTTCTCTGATCTATGATGAGAACCTCGAATTGGGGCTAAATTATGCTTTTAGGGTTTCAAATGTCTGTAATACTTGAGGGTGCTGCAGGAAGAGCACTACATTTCGCGGCTGCAATACGCTTGGCCTCAGGTCTCGTGCATATCTGGATTCCCTTCTAGAGGAACAAGATCAGTCTTCTTTAGCTATAAGGATGGTGCAGGCCAGGCAAGGATCTATACAGTTTAGAATCTTGTCTAATTTTTTTGTTGGAGTTTCCGAACATATTCATTTTTGAGGAACAATGCAAACGATTAGATTAAACCGTCTTCTACAATTCTTGAACAGCTTCGTGTTGTTATAGGAATTTAATACAATAATATGGAGTGGAAATTCACTTATTTTGCCACTATCAATGTTCTGTTATTTGTGCCTGCAACTTTGATCCATTTGCATTGAGTTCATGACACTGTTAGTGCAATGCTTGTCTGTCACAGTATATTGTTTCGGTGATTGCAGATTCAGAAATTTGGCTTACGGTTTTTGACGGTCTATGAAATAGAAAAGTTTATGACTGACTTGAAGGTGCAATGATCGAGCTGTCATTATATTAATTTCTATTCCTCTAATGCCAATCCCTTATACTTGAGTTTTAAGAAGGAAAGTTCTTACTCTATTCCTATTTCTAGGAAAGCTTGGATGATGTTAAGTCTATTCCACTTCTATTATGTCCTCCAGTTGCTTCTGGAATCTCATCTCAGTCTGAGTTCATCCCTACTGATGAAGCATCACACAGGTTGTCAATATAGCAGTAACTCTTACTCCTTTATCGATCATTTCTTTTAGCAAATAAATATCGGTATGATTTAACAAGTTAAATGGAAGTGGCAGAGCCTATAAGATTGTATCTATTGAATGCTGTTATGCACACTCAGGATTATCAAAGAACGAACGCCTTCAACTTCAGAAGGTACTTATGAGATACAGGCGAGCAAGAGCTATGGAGTTTCTCAAGATTCAAATCCACCACAGGATATGAGACTGCAGCGCGAAGTTGAAGAAGTTCTTTCATCTTTTCCACCCAGCTTCACTTCGTTCCTGAAGAGCTGTGGCCCTGCCATTGATGAACAAGGCATGTATCTCCTTCAACCTTAACTGAACATAAATATGTTTCATCTCTGTGTGTCTGGATATCCCTTTTGACTGAACTGTACCGGTTACAGCACAACAAACTGCATCACAAGACTTGGATCTAAAAGCCCAAATCACGGTACTATTTATTAATTCTTTTTCTCTCAGTTGTAGTGGATTTCTGAACATGCAGAACCTAACTGTATTAACAAGCTCAATGTTCTGTCTTTGTATATTGTTGCAGAAATATATGGAAGATTCCTCCTTTCAAGGTACATTTTATGAGAATATTGCTATTTCCCACTACATGTGAATATGCCTCACAACAAGTTTCTTTGTTGTTTGTATCCTATTTGGAGACAGAAGATTGTTTAGCCTTTAAAAAAAGGCTTTTAAGCATTTAAGTCCCTCACTCCTGGGGCACCCCCACACTGGGAAGGTGCTAGTCTACTCTATGATCCCTATTTTTTTTATGTGTACTACATAACTTGTACAGATATGCTCCTTAAGGTAGAGAAAGTCATCAATGAAGTTGGGGACTTCAGCATATTGCTATAAGCATGGAGAAAGATGCTGCCACATTACCCTTTTTTCCTGAATTTTCTTGGGACTATTTTGCCCCAGAAGCTGTATAAATCCATTATGTGCAACAAAAGATTGATCAAAATGGTCAGACGAGCTTTTATCACATTTCATCAGCTTATGGTTCAATATTATCCATGATTTCTCAACTAATTATGTATTCATCTCGTGCATTTTGTTAACTTAATTAAAAAAAGTCCCAAAATGGAAAGTATTGTGTATAATTTGCGCCTTTTGCGGAGTGAATCATGAACATTGAACATGCATTTGTTAACTTGAATTTGAACTGACTCACACACAAAATAACTTGAGCACAATAATACTTTGAATCTAAAATAGTCATAACAAATTTGAAATTGAAATAAAGCAAATAAGATTGATGATTGATGAGACTATAAATCCAAACTTGATATAATTATGGAGTATCACGTGCTCTTTTTTTTTGAAACGTCATGTACTTTTTAATTCATAAGATGCTTGCTTAGGTTGTTCGATTCTTAGAACATGAAATGACAAGGAAAAAAAATGTCACACGCTGACATGACATAAATCAATAAATAAAAAATGGTCCAGTCACAGAGTGACAAGTCATTACTTTTGTCTCTTTTTTAAATGTTTGTATTGTATTTTAATTATTAAAAATTATTTTTGCTATTTTTTTCATTAAAAAAAATACTTCTACTTCCTTACAAAAAAGATATTTTTCGTAAAAATAAAAATAAAAAATAAAATAAAAAAGAAAAAGAGGTGTGGGGTGCCTTGCAGATGGCTTGCTCTCCATGGTGGTATGTCTTGGCTCTCCATGCTAAACATGACAAATTATTTGTTGGTAGCTGATGTGGCAAGCGTGGTAGGCATTTGCCTCACCTGTTGCCAGTGCTCTTAGGGAGATAACTGAATAAAAGGTCTCAAATTCAAAATCTGACAGTATTTGTGTGATTTTCATCTTTTTTTAGTTTTATGATTTATATGTCTATAAAGTACGAGATTGTTCCTGTAATTTTCTTACTAGTTAATACGGAGTAGTGTATCAATAAAAATTAGGTAGTGTAAGATAACACCAAATATTTGACACCAAATACACTCTAAAGATTATAGAAAGATAAGGCTAATATCATGGGTGCCCCTCGTGGTTTATAAAAAGGGCGTCGAAATCGCCTTTGTTTTCAAAAATTATTTTTAAGTCTCTATGCTTTCTAAATAGAGCACGCATGCCCCCCTTATTACCTATTTTTAAAACAAAAATGACATTTATGTCCTTTCTTTTTCTCGATCTTGAATTTTCCAATTTTATTTTCCTTATTATACAAATATATAAAATAAAATATACGCTTGTGATCTCAAATTAAAATTTTCCATAACGTATTTTTGAAAACAAATTTTTTTTTCTTTTCTCCCAATTAGCTTTGTTTGGGATAAGACATTTTAAAAAAAAGAAAATGCTAGGGTGCCACCACATAAGTGCTACCATGGGTGCACCCATGCTTCGCACAAACAAACACAGACGATAATTGTTTGTGTCGCACAGACAATTATCGTCTGTGTTTGTCTGTGCGAAGCATGAGTGTACCCAACACCCATGTGGCGGCACCCTAACATTTGTCCTAAAAAAAATTATCCCTTCCTGATGTAACGGTAACGGGTGGTGTAAGTGTTATGTTACTGGTGCAATTTCACAGATACGAGATGACTGTATTAGATCCATTCCACGTGCGCGTCACCATCTTCCCGAGCCAAACGAAGTCAGAGAACACCGGAGAAGCCGCTTATCGGAAGGGAGATCCTGGACCGCCATGGAAGCCGTAGTTCGAAATCCCGGCGCGCCATCACTTCCTTCCATCGCCGCCTTCAAATCCAGGCGCTTCCGCCACCGGTCCTCCGTTCGCGTCCGTCTCCCGGCTGCCGGCAGAAGGAGTCGGTTGTCGTTCGCCGTCAAAGCCATTCAGAGTTGCGCTGCATTGGAGGAATTGGATCCTTTCGAGTTGAAGCTGAAGAATCCGGCAATCTCGACTTCATATCGGGATTCCAGTTTTCCCAAGCCGAATCAGACCGTTTTGGATGCTCAGGCTAAGGTCTGCACCGGCCCGACCCAGACCAGACCTCTCAACGAAGAGCAAGCGTTCAAAGTCTTACAAACCATTCTGAAATCTGGTACCTTTGATTTTATATTACGGTTGACTTTAGTTACTTCATATATATTCACTGATGATTTAAATTTTCTAACTATACACCTTGTCTTTGGAATGTATGAATAACTTGTCCTTCATGCTGCCTTAAATATATACATAGTAGTATAGAAATTATTATAGATAATGGAAAATTAGTTTTTGAAGTAGTTCTTAGTTTTTAAATGGTAGCTAAGGGAGAGCTGAAAGATGAAGAGACAGTGTCAAAAGCACAACTCGGGGCGTTCTTTGCTGGAATGACTATCAGAGCAAATGCATTTCCAGAGGCAACACAATGGAGTGATGGGGAAAGGCGAGCTATGGATGTTTTTTGGCCCGAGTTGGTTCGTGTTCTCCCTCCAGACATAATTTTTATAGCTGATCCGGAAGGCTCCTTGATGGGGATCGGAAGCTCCATAGGCCCTCAGTTTGTTGGGAATAACACCTCTGAGATGCGACTTGTGGGTGCCTTGAGAGAAGTTTTGGCTGGAGGTCATCTTGGATATGAGGAGGTTCAGGGTGTTCTAAAAGATGTTATTCCACAACGATTAGAAGATGGCACATTGTCTGGTGTGAGTGAGACGTTGCTTTCAGCATTTCTGATAGGACAACGTATGAACAGGGAGTCTGATCGTGAGCTTAAAGCATATTGTCTTGCATTTGATGATGAACTAGGTAATGCCTTTCTGTATCAAGGAGTTGGTATTGGCTTCATACTTGAATCTTGGTCATTGTCATGAATAATATCCATATAGGTCCTTTTTGGTAAGGCTAGTCTGACTGAAACTGCTGAATCTGATTCTTTTAGGTTTTCTGAAAGAAAAAGTGTTTAGTAACATCCGTTTCAGCCAAATAAGTAGACCAAAAGCCACATATTCTTCTCAGAAGCAAAATAGAAAATACGTAGAATTACTGATCATGGCTACCAAACAGAGACTGAATTTCATTCATTGTAACAATATCCAGGCCCTGTGCCAGTTGCTGATGTTAAATCATTGACCCATTATGGTGAACCTTATGATGGAAACACCCGATACTTCAGAAGCACTTTATTTGTTGCTGCTGTTAGATCCTGCTATGGTGAATCTTGCTTGCTTCATGGTGTGGATTGGATGCCACCAAAGGTATTTTTTCTCTAAATAATATGCTACACTTATACTCCATATATAATTTGTCTCTTTTGCGTGTTCTTACTTAAACTGATACGAATAATTAAAGTGTCCCTCAAGATTTGTTTGAAAATATGGAGCTGACATCAAGTTTATAATTATCTCTATACTATAGTCTCACTGCTTCAATATACTCTCTCCGTTCCAAAATAAACTTCTCATTTACTTTTGGCATGCAAATTAAGAAAAAAGATTTGTGGTTGAGATTTATTTTGAAATAAAAGAAACAAAAGGAACCAAACACTTATTTCCTCATAGGAAATGAGATGTCTATATTGGGACAACCTAGAAAAGAAGGTTGGAAGTCTATTTTGAGATGGAGGGGGGTATTGGACTGTCTAAAGTTTTAGATGTAGTTATCTTAGGGGTTTATATCAATTATTTTACAACCTGAAGGCAGTTGCTATTTTCAGGGAGGTGTCACCGAAGAGCAAATGTTAAACTTCATGGGTGCATATACACAGTTATCACCACTTCAAGCTAAAAAGATTCTAGAGGTCCTCCAACAGTCCAACCCTTCTGGAATTCTCCTCCCTTTCCACCCTTCTCGTAATGTAAAAATTCAGTCCCACATGTTTAATACATCGAAGTTGTTTCCAGGATGAAGAGATTGGATTTGCTTATGTCAGTCAGCGTGAGGCTCACCCATCTTTGTGCGTAAATTTTACATGTTACTGCTCATCAATCTTTTTCTTTTTCTCTTTCAACATGGAAATTGTACTGATTTGGTTGAACTGCGTAGATGTGAATCTCATAGTTTTTTTCTTGATTTTTAAATTCCTAATAATATTGTTACTGTCACAGATATTCTTTGGTTGGGCTGAGGGAGCATATAAAGAAGCGTCCACCATTGGCAACTGCAGAAAAGGTTCAACAATTAGTAAGGGTAAGATGAATCTGAATCATCACTTTTAAATACATTGGTTTCGCTTATAGAAATTGTAGCTTTGAGGAATTGCTTAGTTGGCACCAAGCAAATGAGGGAGGAATGGTTAGAGGGGGGGNAGAGAGAACTAAATGATCGGTCTACTTGGTTTTTTGGGGTTTAGACCATTAGAAATTAAGAAATTTAAAAAATCACCTTCTCTGTTTTTTTAAAACACTTTTGGCTTCCAACACCCACATAAAAATAATGCTCTTTTGACCATTTTCAACATTCAAACTTATTATTTTTGGGTTTGACCATTGGAAATTTAAAAACAAACATAACCGTTGGCTTCCAACAACCACATAAAATGTCTATACTCTTTTTTATCTATTTATTTTAATAAAAAGTACTCGTAGATTATATAAAAATAAAGTTTTTGTTTATAAATGTTTATAAAATAGAAAATATAAAATAAAATTAGAAATAAAATTTGCTTAAAAGAAGAAATAAATGATTTAGTTAGAATGAAATTAAATACTCCGTACGAGTAATATAGAGTTGTTTTTAAGAAAAAATAATATAAAGTTGAAAAATAAAATGGTAAAAAAGTATTAACAGAGTGGGTTAAGGGAAATAAAAGGGGGCCCACATATAAGAAAAGAAAAAAAGAATGAGAGGAATGATTAGAGTGCATTAAGGGAAATGAAATGGGGAAATGATGTGACATTGGAAAGTGATGATATGGAAGGGAATTAGTAGGGACGCTCTAATGGTTTTTACACCCTCACCAGTTTTTTAACTTATAAAGCCTCCATGTGAATGGAATAATGGATGTGTAAAACTGTAAATAGATTTAGGTTGTGAGATTGCCCATTCCAAAACGATATTGGTTGTCATTAGGTGTTATTGGTTACTTCATGGATTTGAAACTCTTATAAGATTTTCCAATGTGATTTACCTTCTGAGTTTTCGTAGGCACGAGGGAAGGAAGCAATTGTTGCAGGCTTCTATCATGATGGTTTTGAAGAGCCACTTTTAATGCTTATGAGGAGGAGAGGTGTTCATTCTGGTTTGGTGGTGAAAGTATGTAACCGTCCTAATGCGTAATCCCCCCACCCCACCCCCACCCCACAACATACTCACAAACGTATCTGGCCATAACCAAGTACCTAAATTATAGTGATGGTTCGATATTCAGGGCGAGGAAGGTGCACTTTCCATGACCACCAAATCACGATCAATGAATGCATCGAAAGGCCTGCCAGTAAATTACTGTTCTGGATATCGTTCAGTAAATACAACACCTGCTAATGCAGCAGATGGTATGGACTTGTTACAAACTTTACCTATTTTATCTCCTAGTTTCTTAATGATCAATTAGGATTCCAAAAATACAAGGAAAATGTGAAAGGGGAAATTTGATTAAAATTGAAAGGAACGACAAGTGAGGGAAAATAAAAGATAGGTAAGGACTCAATAAATGCATTCTAGATGTAATTTGATAACCAATAGGTAAGGACTCTATTATATAATGACTTAAAAAAATCTAAATATATGCACATTTTAGTACTCTATAAAGTTAATGGCATTTCATTTTCCTTTGCACTTCATATTTTGCGGCTAAACCAAATGTATAAGATAATAACTTTCCGTATCCTTTTCTCTCTTTCCCTAGCATATTCCGGTATCCAAACATACCCTAATATAAAAATGATATTAGAGTTCATGCTTCGTTATTGTTGCAGGCGTGTCACGTGAGAGCTTTAACTGTGTGGTGAATGCAGAGGATTACGGCTTTGCACCCACTGACACTCCCAGAACAGATAGATCGGTATGGCTCAATAATCAATATGCATTCTTCTCATTTTGAATTTTGCTTATCTGAATAGACTTATTACTCTATCGAGTTTTTTTTATTTCCTCACGTCTATAATCCATAGCACATAGGAAGTGCTTGTGTAAGAAATTTGAAAACATGCTTTATATCATTTCTGATTGAGTGTTTGGAGGAAAGCTGTTAAAGACAACCCTTTATTTCTTGGAAGACATGCATTGAGTCTTTTTGACTTGAGATTTTCGGGTTTTATGAAAAGTTCCCCCCGAAACGGTCTGCCAAACACTTAATCAATCATAGTTACTTAAACAAAGTTTTTTACAAGGAACAACATTTTTATTATAAAACATCTCAGGTTGCAAGGAATATAGAATTGGGTTTAGCTGCCTTGCGCGGAGAGAAAGGTCCAGCATATGATCGGATTGTCTTAAATGCTGGAATTGCTGACCATTTCCTAGGATGCGAGGGCGCGGAAGATGTGTCCACGGCCCTGGACCGAGCCAGAGAGGCCATAGACAGTGGTAATGCCCTAAAGAGACTCTTGACCTACATACAGATATCTCATAGGGTACGATGAAAGTGGTCACTAAGTATTCACTTTTTGCACTCTTTTTGTTCCAACAACCACAAGAACCCACTTGAAACCCACCAGATTTGGGTCTGGAGAGGGTGTGTGTACGCAGACCTTTTTGTCCCGAAAGTATATAAAACTTCAATAAACAGAGTCACACACTACATGAAAAATGAGATTGTCCGGGTCATTGTTACACGAGATGTGTGTTGTTCGGGACATTACACATCGGATTTTTCTTTACCCAGTAACATAACCGTTCTCTTATCGTGGATTTGGTATATGTTGATGAGCATGCGGTTTGTGAACATGGATACATTCGTTCTTATACAAATAGGCACAAAAAATGACACCAATGTTTTGTGAATTGTGCTAAGAACATCAATGTCCTCATATTTTTTAGATCATTCATAAGAAGTTTACTTTAAATAAGAGTTACATGGTACAAGTATATTAGGGAGGTAAAACAATAGTTTGAAAGTATTTTACAATGTAAATCTAATATAATTATTTTTGTATCAGTATCTAATATACCAGAGTAATTTTTATTCAATTAGTGATCATAGTTTATCGATCTTGACAGCCAAAAATAAAATTTACTCCCTCCATCTCAAATTAAATCGCATGTTCATAACTTACAGGGTCAAATTTTATTTATTTTTTTCTCTATTTTTATTAATCATTTTATTAAATGATATAATCATGATAATATCATTTATAAATGATTTTATATAAATGATTTGAAAAATATTTCCCTCCGTCCCAAATTATAATGCCTGTTCACTATTCACAGGGTCAAACTTCATTCACTTTCTTTCTCTATTTTCGTTAGCAATTTGATAAAATAAAATATTATTGTCACTACTAGTTTTGTAGATCTTTTGATGTAGTTTTTTAATATGTAATTTTTATTTTTTAATTCTATACCATTTGTCATATAAAATGGTTTGAAAATAATTTTAGTCAAACATCGTAAACCGAAACAGGCGTTATAAATTGGGACGGAGGTAGTAGTTGATGCAGGATTTTTTTGTCCATTATGCTGCAACGGTCTGCTAGGCAATTGGTTATCACCTGAATGCAAATGAGTGTCTAGTGAAAATAAAAAAATCCAGTTCAAACTAGAATCGTGGTATTGATTGGGTACCATTTATCTTTAGGTCCGTTTGGTATAAGGAATTGATGGAATTGGAATTGAATTGGAATTGAAATTCCATGTGATTCAATTCCATAGATTTGAATTTTGCCAATTCCAATTCATTTTTTGCACTATCAATTCTAAATCCACATAATTTTTGTGCTACCAAACATCAGAATTGGAATTGAAGCCCTCAATTCCAATTTCATAATTTGAATTTCGTGTACCAAACAGAGTCTTAGTTTAATTCATTTGCTAATTAAAACAACAATTCATTTTTGCTCTAGTTTAATACACAATTCATTTTTGCTCTAGTTTAATACTCCCTCCGTTCCAGTGTATTTGTCCAGTTTGACTTTTTCGAGTCAAACTAGACAAATTTTGAGCTTTAATTAAATAAAAACCGTAATGTATTTTAACATAAAAATGACTTTATTGGATTTATCGTATTGAGACCTTTAAAATTGTATTTTATTATGCTAATATGCAATATAAATTAAGAGTAATTGGAGTTCAAATTTTGTCCAGTTTGACTTGAAAAAATCAAACTGGACAAATACATTAGGACAGAGGTAGTAAGTTTTCCTCGGTAATAAAAAGATTACTCCTTAATTCTGTATAAACTTTACAAAAAAACAGAATCAATATATTTTTAAAAATTATAAATAGAAAAAATACTACACAGACTTCATTTTAAAGTAAAATACGGAGTAATAATTTTGTCCGTGTGAATTATAAGGTTACGAATGAATCCTACTATATACAATACTAGGTGCAATTTGTGAACAGAATTCCCGCCTAAAGTGAGGGCTGAGTTTGGGCCTGCTTTGTAGTTCGGGTTTGGGCCTGTTTTGTGGACGGATATGGGCTGCTTGGTGGATGGGTTTAATTATTTACGAGGCCACTCGGACAGTGTGAGCACGGCAGCCGAAAATGCAATCGGGTTACTTTATGTCTTATCAATATTAAATATTTAGATTGGAAAATCTTTAAAAGATTTGGACAGTTAATGCATTCTGCAGAAAAAATTTTAAGTATTTTATGGGCAATTAACGTTGCGGGCCAAAACTGGCCAATGAAACTGTATAAACAATAATATACATCACTTGCCTACAGCTTTGTACTATTATAAATAGTACCAGTTTCTAATTCTCAAAACATCACAATCCACTTCTAAGAGCAGAATCAAATCCATTTTATTTCCAGAAAAATACTTAAGTCAATAGTAGGACAGTTTAATCTGTACATATTTTGAGAGAAAAATGAGCAGATTCAAACAACAAGAATAACAAATCAAATAAAATTCCACAATATATAAGGTTTTATAATCTGTACATATTTTGAGAAAAAAATGAGCAGATTCAAAATCTACTGTCATAATTAATGAAAAAAATGAAGAAATAGTGTGAATTAAGAGAAAAATTGAGAGAGAACTATATATATATATATATATATATATATATATATATATATATATATATATATATATATATATATATATAACGAATCAAAATGAAAAAATCATTAAAACTTTAACTCAACAATCTTGATTCATGCATGTCAAGATCGAATCCCAGTAGCTTAATATAAATAAATAAATAAATAAATAAATAAATAAATAAATAAATACATATACGTATATATATTCATATATAAAGATCTAAAGATCTTTAGAAAATTTGAGAATATATACGTATATACATCCCGTAATTTAATTCCGATCAACGGAATTATTGAAAAGACGAATTGAAATCAAAAGTTTTGAATCCAAAAAACTTACAAAAAAACGTTGTTGAACAATATCACATATTGCCATATATGAATCGCCAACATCGATATCTCCAAAGAATAGTTCATGGCGATGGATGACAAACTGAGATAGAGACCGATAAGCGAAGAGCGGAAAGAGAGAAGACGCGCGAGAGGAAGGCGGCGGTGATGAGAGAGAGAGTAAAGAACGGCAGAAAATTGAATTAGGGTTAGGCTGGAAGGTTATATATTCCGATAGGGAAGAGCTGTTGGGCCTGAATAAGTAATGGGCTTATCTTTAAATATTTGTGTTCAGAATATTTGTCCAATTTTAATTTTTTGTCAAAAAATATTATGTGATTAAAATTATGATTAAATATGAATCTATTTTGTGTTCTAAATAATAATAATAATTTTGGAAATATGAGATAAAGTGAGTTTACTAACCTATTTTTTTCTACTTGCGTACAGAAATAAACTTCTCATTATGAATTACGATTTTTGACTAAAATTATTTTTAAATCATTTTATATAACAAATTCTATTCAATTAAAAATTTAAAATTACATATAAAAAACTACATGAAAAAAATCTATAAACCTATTTTTCGACTGAAATTATTTTTAAATAATTTTATATGACAAATGTTATTCAATTAAAAATTTAATAGTACATATAAAAAACCACATGAAAAAATCTATAAAACTAGAGATTGACATGACAATATTATTTTATCAAAGCATATTATAAAAATCATCAAATAAAAAAGGTTTAGCCCTGTGGATAGTGAATGGAGAATTTAGACATGTGGATAGTAAATTGGTCAAATTTTATAAATCTTTTGTGTGGAGAACGTTATTTGCTTGGTCAAAACCGACAATAAAATTTATAGAATCTAAACAAGACTTGCACTTACACCTTTGGATTCAAGGATTCCTTTTAATACCTTCATTATGCTTGGTCGAAACGAGTTTGTGATTCCAAGACTTGCACTTACACCTTTGGATTCGAGGATTCCTTTTAATATTTAAGAGAAAATAATTTTTGATAATGACCTCATACGCTATGACAACAAATAAAAGTCAAGGCCAATTCTTGATGCATGTTGGTCTTCTACTGAAAAAAACGGTCTTTAGTCATTGACAGTTATACATTACATTTTCTCGAGTGACAAATCGTCAAGGTCTTAAAATTTTGATTTTGCGACGCTGAGGGAATATTTTCCTTATGAATTAAACTCTTAATTAAATTTTAATTAATGACAAATATAATAATGAAATGCTCCTCGTGCATCGCTGAGGGAATATTTTCCTTTGTAACATTTTTCCTTATTCAAAACATTGAATAATTATATGTCAAATAATAGCTCGTGCATTGCACGGGTACGAGTCTAGTAAGTTATTAATGTCCAGTGAAAATAAAAAATTAAGTTCATACTAGAATTGTGGCATATTTGTTGATTAAAATTACTATTTTTTGCTCTAGCTCAATAAAGTTTTACTCCGGTAGTAAAAACTAAAAAGATTACTTCTTGGTTCTATATAAACTTTACAAAAAAACAGAATCAAGATATGTATAAATTTACACCTCTTTTTAAAGTAGAATTAATAAATTTGTTCGTGTTATTTTTAGAAATGACAAATAGAGATATTTCAACCGAGGTGTTGGTTCAGTGCACATTATTAAGGTGTGAAAAAACACGAACATATACTCCGGGGTATTATATTGTAATAGAATGAATAACACTAAAAAAGAATGGTGCGGTTTGATTCACACTCCCTTGAGTCCGGTGAATGATACAAGCTCCAATTGTGGTGTTCCCCGTCTCCGTTTGCAAGTAGAGGATACTTTCCATCAATTTTGCGAACAAAACACAGTAGGTGCTCCAAAAGAAGAAAAAAAATACTCCCTCCGTCCCCAATTTGATTACAAATTGGAATTTACGAGGAGAAATATATCACTTTTTAAAATTATTTTATTTACAAATTGGTATATCGATAAGAAATAAAAATTACATATTAAAAAACTATGTCAAAAGTTCTACAAAACAAGAGGTAACAAGAATATTTTATTTTTGCAAATACTTAATGAAATTTCGTAAACACACAAATCAAGAGAACAAAAAAAAATTGTAATCAAATTGGGACGGAGAGAATATCTTCTTAGTATCAAACTATCAATGGTACCAGTGTTCATGGAACCACACTGAAAAAAGAATTGACAAGTCCTCCCTCCATTCTAAAATTAATCTTCACGTTCACTATTTATATAGTTAAATTATATTTACTTTATTGATCTATTTTCATTTTTATTAATACAATAATATAGTAGAGTGATACTTACATAGTCTCAAGTAGGCCTGGACACGGTACCGTTACCGGCAACGGTACCGCTACGTCACCGCCGGCCGTCACATCTTTCCGCTTCTGGGGAACCGTTACCGGCACCACCCCCACGGGACTGGTTTCGGTGCC